TGAGGGCTGTGCATATCGAGATTAAGGCCGATAGATAATCCGATCACAGCGCTGTTTGAAGTCACGAGGGTTACCATTCATTCTAGCAAATGTGAAAAAAATGTGAGGGAATTTTCTTTGGGGTTTTTCATTTTTTCACTTTTATAGACGACTTTTTTTTGGCAAGATGTTTCCATTGATTCACCCAAGAACAATTGGCCGATATCTGAAACCACTGAACAAGCTTTCCCCTGCAGCTTATCTGTATTTAGTTTGGGATTCTGGATTCAGATAAGAGTTTGATGGTAATCGTTAACTAGACATCAGTGTCTTACATGCATGAAATGTTGCACCAATACAGAGCCAGCAGAAACAGAAGAAGCTATGGCTACAATATAGCTTTGGGACATAAAAATCAGTCAAAGATATTAAACATGTACATCTCCGGTAATTGTAAGTGTTAATAACCTTATCCAGAATTCAGTAATTGTGGAAATATGTAGGTTTTTAAGGAATCATGAGTTCAGTGCTCCATGACTGCTCAATCTGCTGATCAGTGTAATATGTATGAAAGCTATGAAGCAGGTGGTGAATGTGCCTTAAGCTTAGACTTTGTTGTAATAAGAGTCAGAATGGGATTTGCAATGTTTGTGAACTTGTTACAGATGTAAAGACCTATGTCTGAATCAAATACAGTGTGTATAAGTGAATGAGTGGTTTTTGATGGATATAATCTGACTGTGTGGAGACTATGACAAGGTTTGATCTGCACTGACCTGCATCTGCTCTTTTTTTTTTTTAAGTCAGATTTTTATTGTTGGCAAATGTTTAGTTGAATCAGAGGACTCAGTCTTGTCTATCAACGCTTCATCAGACAAGCTACGATAAAATTTGACCAATCAGGAGTTGGCAGTTCGTCTTGTAATCAGAAGGTTGCCGGTTCGAGCCCTGGCTCCGACAGTCTCGGTCATTGTGTCCTTGGGCAAGACACTTCTACCCGTTGCCTACTGGTGGTGGTCAGAGGGCCCGGTAGCGCCAGTGTCCGGCAGCCTCGCCTCTGTCAGTGCGCCCCAGGGCAGCTGTGGCTACAATGTAGCTTGCCATCACCAGTGTGTGGATGACTGAATGTAGTGTAAAGCGCTTTGGGGTCCTTAGGGACTAAGTAAAGTGCTAAACAAATACAGGCCATTTACCATTTTTTAGTCAGTTTTCCAAGTTCACAAAATCTTTTCAGTTAGTTTAATTTTTTTCCAAGTCTAGTTTTTGTTTTTTAGTTCAATAAAATGTTTTAATTCTAGGTTTTAGAGTAATCCTCCACCCTAACCCTATAATAACCTGGAAAACAACCAGCTGATTACCATAAACACTTTCTGTAAGTGCACCTTTCTGTGTAACTCTACCCACTCTCGTCCTCTTGGTCACTGTTTTCATTTTATCTGTGTCTTGGACTTTTTTATTCTGTAGAAAACAAGAAAGCATCTCACAATCTTTCAGCACACTTTGGTCAGTTTTAATATTTATTCTGCATTTATGTATTATAAATAGTTTAAAAACTGTTACATTTTATTCATTTTTCAGTACAAAACGATATTCAGGGCCATGTTTGGTTTCTTTAATCTACTAATAGAATCAGGACGGTACATTTCCAGTCAACTGAAAAGGGCCTAATGTTTCATTACCTAGAGGTCCAATTACCCATCATAAGCAATTCATTTAAAAAGGGCCTAAAGTTGGCAATCCTGTAACACATTTTACTATTAATGCGTTTTAAATACGTTTTGGTTTTGTATTTTTAAATTTAAATTTGATTTAAACAAAAATACATTTTTAATTGTGTAAAGTAATCTAGAAAAAATGTTTTGAAATAATTAATTTCCCCCCAAAAAGGTCTCTGTAGAATTACAATCTGTGGAAGTAAAAAAAAAAAAAAAAAGATAAAAATATCCATATTTTTCATAAATATCATAGAAAACGGAAAAAAAATCACAGAAAACTGAAGAACTGAAAACTGAACTTAAAAATTCACCAATAGCAGCGGCAGTACAGTTAGCAGAAATTTAAGATGTTTCAGTGCAGCAGAAATCAAACAGTAACCCATCTTGTTATAAAAGTCAGTCCCCAGACACCCGCAAGCTAAAGCAAATCCTACAATACTGTAGATCTGCTTGTGTTTGGAAGGCAGGTAAGTAAATTAAACGGCTTGGCAAAAAAATAATCATTTTAGCTTTGTGAGTCTCATAGAGTTTTTGTGTGTTTGGTGTGGAAAATGTCTACGGTGGTCTCCTGGCACTGCCTGAGGTCATAGTCACAGTATCCAACAGAGAATCGGCCCTGCGAGACAAACGACAGAAAGATCTCGTTCACTTTAGCCACTCCATACTTACAGATGAATACTAATAAGTATATAATGCGTAGTCTCACTTTAGGTCTCTTGAAGTAATCCAACCCTCTTCCAATTTTTATGATCCAACCATTATCGAACCTAAAAATAAAATCAGGTTTAATTTACTGGGATAAAAGAGACCGTATTTTGAGCAATGGAGTGTTAATGTAGAAGTGAACATCAGATGTCACAAGGATGAACTTCCTCATGCTGCACGTATGTGGCTGCTGTAAATGAGGAAAATCTGCAGGTGTACCTGATCTCCCGGTCATGGATAGTGGAGGAGTACTGCAGGTCTAGAGTCACTCCGTGAGCGCTGAGACTCTCTTTCAACTCGGCCAGAGCGCCGCTCTGCTGGCCACTATCAGCCTGCGGGACGGGAAATGACAGTATAAACTAAACAGAGAAGACAGCAGTGGCTGCTCAGCTTTGACTATAAAATGCAGCTCTATTGTGTGAGTAACTCACTTCATCCTGCGACGTGAGGAGGTGGATCTTGTTCACCTTGCAGGGGGCTTTTAGCAGCATCTCACAGAACCGAAGGAAGTTGTACAACTGTTTGTGAGAGGAAAGGCGAGGGCTTTGTTTGGCATATTATATAAGGTTGGTACAGTTTAGGGCTGATTTTTAAATCATAAACATAAAATTACAATTATTTATTATAAAGTCCTAGTCAAACTAATAAGGAGAAAGCTGCTTGCTTGCAGCTTGCAACACATGATCAGAGAAAAAAAAGATTTTCAGTATATGCGTTCAGGCTTTTATCAAACACATCATCCACATCATAACTGAATGTGTTCCTCCTTTTCCCATACATGACCTCTACAAAAAGTTTAATTAAAGTCAGCTTAGCAGTCTTTTCATAACCTACCAGACAGATTTTTATAACATTTGTTTGTTTAACTTCAACTAATCTGTGATAGTTCTATTAATCAATAAATCTTTCAGCCATCTAAATGTTGAAGGCTTTCTGGCCACAGAGAGACCCTGGCGCAGACCAGGACATGTTAAAGAGATTATGTCCCCCCTGTCGGCTGCTCCTGCTACCCAAGGCGGAAAATGTATACGTGTATTGCAGACTTAGTCCTCTAGTATCATTCTATTGGTATCAAATTAATGAATAAACTCATTAAAGATAAGCTCCAACCTCTGAACAAAGCCTGATAAAAGACTGATGACAGAGTGGAATGAATAAAAACCCCAGTTAATGAGGACAAAACTCTTACTTGGTGGGTGTGCCGTATGTACGGGTCCTCCACCCAGACTTCAGTGAGAGCGCTGCTGATGTATGGCTTGAACAGAACCTCATAGCTGTAACCAGTAGCATCCTCTGATATTCTTATCTGCTCGTGGTACTTCCCATCTGTCAGGGAAGATAAGAGAAACACAAATTTTGAAAACCCCCTTCTTTAGCTGTGGCTCTTACCATATATTTTCCCCCTAAATCTAAAAACTTAACCAGCACAGTCCTACACTGGAATAGGATCCTGCCTATAAGCGATACTAGACATAATTAGATTTATACATAAATGTAAGGGATATAACAAAACAATAAACAAGATTTTGGTTGTTGAGAAGATCGCACAGTCAATATTCAGCTAGAGCTGGATTACAGGGCAAAGTGGGCTTCAGCAACCCAAATCAACAGGGTCAGTAAGATTGTGCAAATTATTAATTTGGTCATATGCAACACTGAAGCACCTTGTTCACCTGATTTGAATTCTTGCTTGTGTCAAAATTACCACAAAGTTCTACTTCTTGCTCCCTTTCGGGGTCGCTACATCTACCTCTGCCCCTTGGAGCTCCACTGTTACACCTGTCTCCCTCTCATTTACACACAGGTGCTACAGGTCTAACAGTCAAAACCACTGCAAACAAGAGGCTCAGTCGATCAGGGTAATTCATCTTTGCCCGGCCCACTTTGCCCTTTTTTGCTCCATTACTGGCAAATTACCTTCCTTCATCTGATTCACATGAACTTTGATTTGCTCTGCTCTGTCCATGTAGCCCTTTATCTTCTCTCTGTAGTGTCCTCTCTTTGAGTCATCTTTTACAGCTGCTCACAGGACAAAGAGAACATTAAAAAAAAGACGTTCAGCGTAATTCAGGGCAATGTTTAAAATATGTAATTATTAATATTTATTTATTTTTAAAGGAGGACCTTTTAACGCGTCCATAAGCAGCTGGATGCCTTCCTGGTAGCAGATGAGAGACTCCTGGAAACGTTCGCTCTGGTCCAGCTCCACCGCTCGCTTCAAGACAGACACGGCGGACGCCTCCATTCCCGACAGGTGGTTTTGTGTCATTGTTCTGTCTTTCAACTGTCTTTTAAAACCTATATAACTCTAAATAAACCTCACGTTTCACCAGTGACAGGAAAGAAGCTGAGAGAAGTAGCTCTACCCACGAGTGCCCCATAAAAATAACTCCCGGAGAAACGTAATGACCTTGGTTAGAAAATTGATGGTTATGTATTTTTTTTTTTATAAAAACACACAGTTAAAGTATTTTCAGTTTTTATTAAGTCCAAATTTATTCAAACAACATATTTATCACACTAGAAAAATTAGGGTAGGAACAATGTGCAAATTGCGGTGCTCTCGAAGAGGCGGTGCTCTTTTAATGTAACTCCCCGACGTTTCCGGTTAAGACGGCGGAGAGAGAGGGCTTGACAGCAGCGTGACTCTCCTGTTTCACTGCTGTTTTCAGTGCCGAATTAATGTTTAAATGTGCGAACTTGGTAAATTTGGTATGATTATAGGTCAGTTTTTCATAGCGGTTAGTTAGGCTCGAGTTCCGTGTTATTTAGCGGTTAGCAAGGCTGTAACCTTGTCTCGTAGCCCCTGTTAGCTAAAGAGCAGCAGAAGGAACACAACATGTCAGCTGTCTGTCGCAGTTTGAGCTTTTTATCAGTAAAGGTGGGTACATCACTGCACGTTTTTAATGTTTCAGACTTGAACTGTCTACAAAGTGTTTCGTACATCTTGAAGTTGACATACGGGCTCATTTAGTTTAACGCTGCTTGAGGAAAAATCCAGCTAAACCTGAAACCCAAATCAGGGATGGGACTTGGAGAATAGTTACTGGATTTTTCTAGGTTTACTGGATTTATTTATTTTGTTTGCTAGATGACTGCAGTGCTGAATTTTAGGACGCGAAACTTTCAAATATAATGACCAATGTCCTGGATACATATACAACGTGCTCAGTTATGTAAAAAAAGAAAAGAAAATGAGGCCATTGTAACTAACTCAGCATTAATGAAACTCACTTGTTGTGTGAAGCCACTGGGCTTCTCTGCACCACTATCCAGTCAGCTGTGATGTGCACTAGGCTACATTTGCTGCAGAAAGTGCTCCAAGTATTAAAGTTAGAACTTTAATACTAATATTGTCATCTAAGATTCAGTTCAGGTTTATTTTATATATAGCACCAGTTCACATCAAAAATCGCTTCAATATGCTTTAATTCAATTCCAATTTTATTTATATAGCGCCAAATCAAAACAAAAGTCGCCTCAAGGCGCTTTATGCCGTAAGGTAAAGACTCTATAGAGTTCAACTAGCCCCCATGAACAAGCACTTTGTGATGGTGGGAAGGAAAAACTCCCTTTTAACAGGAAGAAACCTCTGACAGAACCACCTCATGGAGGGGCAGGCATATGCTGTGACTGGAGAGGGTGATAAGAGGAAATGGAAGAGAGAGGGGAAAAAAGCAAAGAGGTAGGAAAAAGCAGACTAAGGGAGAGAGGGAAGGCAAAAATGTATGTATGCAATAATGACTTGGTGCAGTGGTGTGTAAACAGAAGGGGAGTGAAAAGAGACAAGTGGAAGTGCTCAGGTGTATCAGATGTATGTAAGGAGGAAGAATTTTATATCCAATTCTAGATTTAACAGGGATCCAGAGATGAAAAGCTAATATGGGAGGAATGTGCTCCAACTTCCCTTTTGCTATTAGCTGTTTGGAGTAACACAAATCCAACAACCTGACCAGAGTCAGGCAAAGCATAAATCAGTAAACGGATAACTACACATGACAAATGTTAGGGAAATCTGTTCATATTTTGTGGATCTGAAAGATAAAAACAAAATATCTGCTGATGTGTCAGAATATCAGATTTTTAAATCATTAAAAAAACAAAAACAACAAAAAAAACTTTTGTTCCCTAAAGAAAAGAATATCTACCACCAGTAACAGCAATCTATCTCTGAGACTTAACTCTACAGAACTTTTTAGATTTTCTACATATATAAGTAAACACATTTTCCTTGATACTGGGCTTTGCTTTTTACCTTCTCTCTGTTTGCATATGTTACAGACCCTGACAGAAGCTCCAGTTTTGTCACCTTGTGCATGGTATGTGTCAGCAAGAAGCAAATTCTCCAAATCCAGAATCCCACCAGAGGTAAGAATAAATTTAGAATCTATAATGTTGTACATTTGTAAAGTAATTAGCAACACTCAAAGTATGTAATGTCTTGTGGCCCTACCCATGTGTGTGTCAAAATATAATTCTTTTACATTAATATTTATTTGGATTAAGTAAGTTTGGGTATAATTCCAGCAGGTCCAGTAGACACAATGGTTTAGGTGGATTATTAGCTACTCAGCATTTTTTTTTTTTTTTTTTTTTTTAAAGTGTTGCTTTAGGCCCGTCATTACAGATGAATCCTGCCATGGAATAATGATAATCCTTTATTCTGTATTTTCTTAACAGATTTTTGCTGAGCGATCGAAAGAGCACGAGAAATATGGTGGCGATCCAGACCAGCCGCACAAGCTGCACATAGTGACGCGGGTCAAAAGTGCGCTGCGAAGGCCATACTGGGAGAAAGAGATAATAAAACACCTCGGGCTTCAAAAGGTAAAATTTCTGTCATGGTACAGGACCCCAAACTGGGTTCCCTTTTTGTAAAGGCTACAGATTGTTTTTGTTTTACTTTTGGATTAACTTAATGTAACCGGATCATGTTCAATGTTTTTGTTTTTTTTTGTTTTTTTGCACATACAACAAAACACTGCTGTCAGCTTTAGTTCAGGAATTTCCATTTAATTCTTTGCGTCTTTCAGCATCTTTCAACAGTGACTTGTACCCTGAAGGAGCTCTGATCAGGATAAATGATCTGTACAGAGTGTGTCACCTCATGCAGACGCTCACAGCCTTTATCTTTTGGAATAATTTTCTCTGCCTTTGTCTCGCACTTAGGCTCACGTCCCTGTAATTCATAAAAATACTCCTGCAGTCAACAGCCAACTGAAGTTTGTCAAGCACCTTGTAAGGTAGGATTAATTAACCAAAAGTAGTAACACATCACTCTTAAAGTACTATTAAAAAAAGGTTAGTTTTTTTTCAAATTGAGGTTGCCTGAGATGCCTACATATCTATACTGTTATATCTCCTTTGCCATCTCTTTCTGATACCTTCAGGATACAGCCACTAAAGACTCCCTATGGGCTCCCTGCTGAGCATGACATGGCCGATGCATACATCAACAGCAAAGGAGAACTTATTGTACACCACCTCCTCCAACCTGTAGACAACAAGGCAATCGAATCTTAGCTCCACTGTTGCGTGTGTGAATGTCCTGGAAAATGTCCTGTTGTCATTCTCTCTGCAGTGAGAGAAAGCTGTGGCACCAACCAGACTTCTTGATTGCTGTTTCCTGTGTTTTGATGCTGAGCTGCAGATGAATATGATTAAATGTTCTCATCAACCTGTCTCTCAAATGATTGAGCAAAGTGCCATCCTGATGAAGCAGGAATACTGACATTAACGTCGCATCTGAAAAATTCCACTCTGTGCAAACCCACTGTTCTAAGTTTGAGTTAATTCAGGAATTACTCAAACTTTTCCAGAAAACTTGATTTATTTTTATTTTTTCTACATATCAACAGTTTAGCAATTTGAATACCAGCATATTAATTTTACAGACAGCTAGTAATTTGGTAAAAAGTGTAATTTGGGTTCTGAGATAATTCAACAACAGTTAGTGGTTCAGATTGTTAAAATTAAAAATGACTTCCTAAATCCCAAAGACAAGTTTTTTGCTCACCACCTCAATTGTATCAGACTGCCAAACAGTTATTTATAGAAATCGAGGGCCCCCTTTTTTGTTGCGGTTTTTAGTTTTGTAGTAATGCTCAACGTGCTCAGCATAGCACCAGCCAGTCTCATCAGCTACAAATAATCCACGCCCATAAAATGTTTTTAGATGGTTATAGTTTTCAGTTTAAAGACAAAAACAGCAAATGGGAACTCCACCTATTTTGTTTTCTAAGAACAAAGGCTCACATAAAAACATTGCCAGTAATTATACTGGCCACTTCATTAGGTACATATGGTACACTGCTTGCTAATCCAAATATTTAATCAGCCAATCACATGGCAGCAACTGCATGCATTTAGACATGGTCATTACAGCCTGCTGCAGTATCAGAATGCCTCAAGGTGATTGAGTGTGCCATGATTGTTTATGCCAGACAGTGTAGTCTTGAGTATTTCAGAAACTGCTTATATTCTGGGATTTTCCAACACAACCTTCTCCAAGGTTGTGTACCAACAGAGCATCATTTAAACACTACAACCTACCCAAGTGTTGTTGATCACAGTCCACAAATCTTCTGATGCTTCCATCTGTGTAATCTTGTGAATATAGACCAAAATCTCTGAATATTTCAAGCACCATGTTCAACCTATGCTATGAAGAATTTAGATTGTTCTGAAGACAAAAGTATCCAGTGAGTTTAAGGATGTATTATTTTCATCCATAAAGGCAACATACAACTCTTGCAAATACGCTGCCTCTAACCCTGAAGAAGTAACACAAAAAATACACAAGCAGTTTTTTTTCCATCTTTTTCTTGTTTTTATTAAGTCTGCATTAGTTAGGTCAAACTCATACTACCATGAAATGTCATGTAAAAATTTATTTTGCTCTTCAAAGATGATCTTGGCACTCACATGCACCATGAACTTGGTTCCAACACGAGACGTACAAAGGTTACAGGAAAGTGCGTGAGACAGCTGTCTACAATAAATGATTACACCTGTAAATCAAGAAAAACAAAATACAGCTAACAGCTAGTGGTTGCTCAGTGTGCTCCCTTGTTCATGAACCATACATTTTATTACTCAGATATTCCAATATAAATCATGGTGGATAAGTCCTTAAATAAGGCTGAAACAAACATGCTTTTTAAATAAAATGAATCAAAAAACAGAAATTACTAAGAGGAAAAAAAGGAAGTGGGCTGTCTGCTGGAGTTTTAGTAATGAGGTAGCCCTGAGAGAGTAAACCCGAACACTGTCAAGCCTCTTCAGTCATCTTCAGAATCAGAGTCGTAACCTCGCCCTCTGATGGTTTTCTTCTCCACTTTTGTGAACTTTGTTCCTGATCTCTGTGTCGCTGTTGGGGGCTCCCTCAGGTTGCCACTAGAAACAGGAAAAAGGGATCATGTTAGATAAAACGTTTTCATTCACAACACATAAGGTGCTCGAGTGAGTCTACTGCACATCTCACCTGTAGTTAATAACGTCCGCACAGCCAAGTCTCCATTCGAGCATCTCTGTGGTGAACTCGTCCGTGTTTCCCAGGTCAGTGAATCCGACCACATAGTCCTTTGTTTTTCCATCAATAAGCAAAGCCAGAGTCGGAATAACTTTGATGCGCAGCCTCTCTGTCAGAAATGGGGCTTTCTCTGCATTCAGTTTGATGAATTTGGTCTCAACGTGCTTCTTTGCCAAGATGGCCAAGTGTTTGTCGAGGATCTTACATCTAAGGACAGAGCGACAAGTTCAGATGTCTGACATCAACAGATTAATATCTTGGCGACTGAGTAAAAAAAAAACTGACGCAAAACAAGGCACAATGTTGATTGTTAAAGGTCAAATTCCCACACTTCACACGTAGGAAATGTCATTTTGTCTGAAAAGATGATTTTAATAAATAAATTCATTAATTTGCAGAACATATTAATTTTCTATAAACTACCTCTGATTCTTTGTTTTGTTTTTTGGACTACATTACATTTCTAATTCATGGTCCTGTTGCATCATTTAGTGACTTACCTGAAGGTTGAATTTCTGTAGAAATGGCACACGACATTCTTGCTGTCTTTCACTTCACTGAAAAAGTCTTTCTCACTGGATATGTCTCTGTACTCCCCATGACCTTTAGACAACCACTCCTGAAAAGTAAAACAAAAGATTACAAATACAAGAAAAGCTATTATAGTGGAGTACAATGAAAACACTCTTTAAAGGGTTTGAATAATAGACCCAAATGCTGTGTAGCCTAACTTCAGAGCAAGGCAGTCTATAAACATGACACCAGGTCTTTTATTATGATCCTTCAAAGAACTGAGTGACTTCAGTACAAATTGTAGTGTCGAAAGTTTCATTTTTTAGACTAGGTTCTGCTGATGGTGCGGATAAGAAGTGAATCTTCTCAGTGATTCAAATTATTTTATCTGCTTTAAGAAATTAACACAGCAAAATGTTACAGTGATTATAAATTGTCCCACACACCTGCTTCTGTTTTTGGGCCTTTTTTAGTGCCTCTAATCGCCTTTCCTTCAGCCTCTCCAAATCATCTTCATCCATTTCATTCAGCTTGGCCAACTGGGCATCCACCTGCTCCTCCACCAGCTTGGCTGACTGCTCCAAAACTTTTGCTATGATTTCCATTGATTGGTTAGCCATGGCTGCCTGACTCTGTTTGAAAATGGGCAGATAAACAATGGTGAGACATGACACCAGACAGCAGGACAATAACAACATCACAGTGCCTAATATCGATATCAGCTGATACAGGCTTTCTGCAAATGTCAGTGGCTGATGTGTATCCGTCATGTGACATCCACACTGCACTGGCTACAAGTTCAAAGGTAGCGTGATGGAGCGCATGACGACTAGGACATAGTTAACTTATTCATACGACTTATTTATAAGCTTTCTTTTGCGCAAAGACGCAAAATAAAGAGAAAGGAATCTCGACATCGCCTTTGTTCCCAAATTTTATAATGGGGAAAACCCTGTTTTACCCCTACACTGTGAGCTGGTGTGATCAAGTATGTACAACAATGTAACGTTAGCAACGTTGCTTACACAGAAACTGGTCCGAGAGCTCCTCTTTTAGCTAGCTAACGCCGCAGACAAAGCCAGTAACGGCAGGGGGCACACCTTGTTTCTGCCCGGTGGTGCCTACAGTTAGCTGGTACAGGCACAGACCGTAACTGGGTACCTCTTACGTATCTACAGCTAACTTATACAAACTAAGAAACGTAGCTACACGTACTTCTACACGCCAGCAGTTCAACAAAAATCTCCCTATAAACTCTCAGTCTGCGTTTGCTTGCTATCTTAACTAGCTAGCATTAGCCCCGCCATTGTTAACAAACGTTACAGCAACAGTTTTGGAAACAGTTGTATTGATCCTTTTTTTTTAATGAACGTCAACTGTGCATTTTGTCGAAAATATAAAGTATAACCAAGCTGCTATTAAATTATTACCTAGTAAAGTGACAGATGCTCGTCAACACCTCAGCCCGCGCACGAAACGTTTCTCTGCGGATACAACGTCACAGCGGGCCCGTCTGACGTCGTGGGAAGTACATCCGGGCAACTCGTGAAATACTACGGGTTAATTTTTATTTATTAATTTATTTTGTGTGTGTGTGTTATATTTTTTCACGTTGTACTGCTGCTTTTGTTTATAGCGACCCAAAAGCTCAGTTGTCATCTGATGTATTAAAGAAAAAATATATTGTTTGCAGTAAATCCCGTGCTGAAGAATATTTGTAGTTTATATGCAAAACCAAAACATCATGAATGAAGTCGAAATTTCGAGGTAAGACTTGAAATAGCATTTTAAGAGGGGCGGGGGGGGAGGAATCGAAATTCTATTTTGAGAATCAAGTCGAAATGTGAAGATTAAAGCTTTAAAGCTGTTGCCATGGCTTATACCCGCTACAGCTCCAAAAGCAACCTCCTTTGTCCTATATATTCATTGATGATATCATCAATTCATCATATAATCCCCCATCTTCAAGCCATCTGTCACTCCTGCTGCACACCTCACCACTGTCTCACTGTCCTGCACCACCTTCACATACTTCTTTACCACTTACTCTTTAGTGAGGTACCACAGTTCCTCTCCTGCCATCCTATCATATGCCTTCTCTAGACCCCCCCCCAAAAAAATGGTGTGGCTTGTCAACTTTATCCCATTTAAACAATACAAAATAAGTTATTAAATTCAATGTTTTTTGGCATCAAAATAATATACATCTCTAACAGACATGTCTAGCATATTTATATGCTCATCACTGTCAGACCTGGGAATAACACAACAGACACACTGAAGATAATTTTCATAACCATATTCTATCAGCTGAAAGTCCTTTTGAAGGCCAGTTTATAGAAAGGCAAAGACAAATAAATGAATACAGAATTTACAGTTTATTACCAAGGTTTAGAAAACTTACAAACAAGTTTCACAGCTTCAGGTCTTCAGGCACGAGCCAGATTAGACAAGACAGGCCAATTTATTATTATTATTTTTATTTTAACTTCTGGCCATTCCCCTCGGGAAACACGTGAGAGGTGAAGAGAGGCAACGTCTTGAAAGTGAATCACACATTCTAAATTACATTCATTTCAACAAGTTTCAAAAGATGACCGATTGATTTGGTTTGCATATCAGAATTAGCTTTTAA